CGTCCTCGCGACAAAACAAACTGGTGGCCTGGGGAGACATGAGCTGCGCGTTAATAAAGAAGCGTTGGGGGCAAGTCGCGGAAGCCGCGCATGCCCGAACATGGCCCCGAAGAGCCGCCAAGAGCCGAGGCAGTCCACGTCGGCCAAGATATTTCTGGCTAAGTTGCCGAATGCGAGGCGGACTACATCAGCAGGCCCCAGTAAGAGCGCGAAAACGATCAGAAGCCAGGGGGCGAAGCGTCAAATTCGACATAGGTTCCGCGAAGATTGTTGCTGGAGGTCCGTTCATGCGCGTGGACTCCCGCTGCGCTCTTTGCGCCCGGAGGGGCCTGGGCATTGTGGCGACGCAACATCCCCGCGGGCGAGGCAATGGTGGTTGATTTCAAGCTAGAATGCGAAAGGAGACGGGATGAATGCGAATCGTTTCGCGCAGCGCAGGCCGAATGGGCGCCTGGTCTTAGCCCGTCGTTGAAAGAACTTCGATTCGATCAGTCTCCGTATTCCGATCCACTTCCAAAGCGTGATCCGTTTTGGGCGGAGTTGTTCGAGGAAGAATGCGCTGTCGCGGAGATCCATTCTCTCTTAGATGAAAAGCGCTTGCGGCGGTCGTGGACGTCCGCAATCTGTCTGTCTTGATTGCCAAGAATGCACAAGTGCCCGCGCCGGGCCGCCCCGTCGCGCGAGCAATGGTCGAATCATGCAGAGGCAGCCGCAGGGGAGGGGAGAAAAGCCGTGGAAGAGAGCGATTCGGATGCTGCCCATGTGCGCAGCTGGCGGTCATGGGGGGTGGAGCGGAGAGGAACGTCGCGCAGCGGGCGCCGCGCAATAACGCATTTGAAGAGGCAGAAGTCGCATCAAGAGGCTGGCGCTCAGAGCATCCGCGAAAAGATCGCCAAAGCAGAGGCTCGCGAGAAAGAGGCCGACCCCGAACTCAGAGCAGCCGAGGCAGCTATGATCGAGGCCAAGGCGAGGGCCGACGCGATGCATAGAGCGGGCGATAAAATGACGGCCCTTCGACGCGCCTCCCGCGGGCGCCGGGGGGCTCCCGCCGCCGGCGAGGTCGGCTCCTGAGACTTCGTCGGATGACCTGTCTCACTATCCCAGGGTAATTGCTGCTGGCTCTGCTGGCGGCGTTGCGTCTTCCCCGCCCCGCGGTGCATCCAGCGATGCTCATGCGACCGGCGCTGATCAGGGGGCCCCTCCCAGATCTCCCCCCCCGGTGGGCCGCGATGCTCCTGGGCGGGCGAGGGGGCGGGCGATCCCCGACGCTCCGCAGTATTGGCAATCGGCTTAAGGGGCCAGTTGGATATGATCTCAGACGCACCTGCTGCTTCTGGCCCCGTCCAGAGGGATCTGGCAAATCTCGGGAGTTTATAATTCTCCCGCGCCCCATTTGCAGCAACTGGTCCTTCCGTTGTTGCCAGGTCGAAAGCAATTGATTTCGTATTCCATGCTGACGGGGGCAACCCAACTATGACGAGTTCTGTTGCTTCACTTAAGCAAGGGTTTCAGACGTTCGTTAATGATGAGTCAGCTGGGCTCTGGTAAAATAGTAGCATACTTGTCAATGATTCGCCCGTGCGAAGAATATATTGCTTCCGGAAGAAAAGTGACTATGGTCATGCAGTCGTTTCTTCCGGGCGGATTTACCTCCGCGCCTTGCACAATCCCAGCCTCCGCGGACGTAGACGCGGGCGCTTCCGATGTGGGGGGGGCGCCCTCCTGGCGTGGCTGTAGATGCGGGTGGTGCTTCCGGCCCAGCCGGGGACCCGCCTGCGGCGACCCGGCCTGGGCCGGCGCTTCCTGCGCCGACATTTGTCGACCCTGGAAGAATAGCTAGCGCGCGACCCAGATGAGCCCGGCGACCTGCAATCCACGCGCGCAGTGCCGGGGCACTTTTTGCGCGAAACCTGCCCGCCGCCTGCGACGGCGTCGCGGCCGCCTTGGCAGAGGGGCGATCGAACGAACGTTCGCCGCCAAGGGGTTTAATTTAGGACTTAGGAGCAGAATGTCCGTTTGCTTGAGTTGGAAGAGGTGCTTGATTTCAAGGGCGAGGACATGCTCGGTCGGGTCCCAGATCGCCTGAAACGCTGGGTCGATTGGGCGCGTGGCGCTGGGCCAGTGACCGGCGTGGTCTTGGCTTTCAGTTTCCATGCAATTCGGCCCCTGCGCGCCGTGGCAAGATTCCAGGGGGATCCGATTTGTGGTCTGCTGACGAGCGATGCAAAGGAAGCCCCTATGTATATTTTTTATATATGTTCGCAAAGTGGGGGTCACATGGGGGTTCCGATGAGACTTGGGAAAATATCCTGGGGTTCCTTGTGCCAGTCGTGATCGGTAAGTCTCCGCAGTTCTATGATTGCGAGTTGGTTGGCAGAGTTAACGTCTATTGGAGCTGGGTGGGCGGCCCGAGTCATCCGCTGGATGATGAGGAAAGGGGATATGCATGGAATCTACCCTGCCCCATTTTGGTCCGAGCCACCCAGGGGCGCTCCGTAGACATTGTTGACATTGAGCGAATGCATGTGCCACGTGTTCACATAGCAATGCCGCGCACTCATGGATGCATATCATAACAAAAGAACCGTCCTTCGATCGCAGTCAGGCCATGTCAACGCACTTGAAAACAGTGCCAGTTGGTATGCTTTTCCGAATTATATTTTCTTGTAGGTCCCATCCGGTCAGCACTCATGACGCGGCTCGTCTTCGGATATGATTCAGTCGCTGCCCAACTGGCCCAGCCAGGCGGGGCAACCTGCCGCGCGAGATCAGGCATCGACTGGCAACGACGTCTGGTCGAAGTAGAAGAATAGTTTTAAGGAGCTATTAAAGCCCCCACGGCAGGGAATATTTCGATTGTGCGCAGGGTCCACTGGGCGGAATGGGGTAGCGTCATTCTATTCCGTGAGAATGTGCTTCGCGGCATCAAGTTCAGGATGACACCAGACGGGTCGACAATTTCCAAAGACGTCCCCGCGTGTGCAGATGTTGACAACCTCTTCCTTTTGCAATCATGCCGAATATCCGTTCGTTGCAACGTTGTGTAAGATTCGGGATATTTATTGGGTGCGAAAAGACATGCGTTGTGAGTCGAAAGTGATGGGCTTTCTCGCAGTCAGACGATTCTTTCGTTGCCAACAAAGACGGGCAGCAATGTGACCAGCCATGGAAAGATAACGGCGTACTGATCAGCGCAATGCTGCGCAGTTTTCGCATCGGAATGCGTCAGTGTCTTATGTCCGATGATATGGTGGACCGAATCCTGAATATTCGCGCGTATCATGAGGCATTGACACTCATCAAGGCAGACAACGGCCTCGAAGAGGTATTTGCAGATGGGTTGAGGACCTGGGCGGAATGAGGCCACAGTCACTCAGCCCCCAAGAAAGGAGAGCGAGGCAAAACAACTCGACCCAGTTTGCCGATCAACATTTGAAGTCCAATGAAAACGCAAATCGCAGTGGTTCAATGACGAGATAAGAACCACGAGCTCGAAGGCAGGCATGTCTTGTCTCATTAGGACAGTGTGCCCCCTTTGGGGATGGCCGAGAATGCAAACAGCGTGCCTTCTTCCATTTGCGATCCATCCATCCGGTTCTTGGACGTACCCGGGAACATTATCATATCGTGCAACGCTGGAGGAACGACAATGCGAGGGTGTCTGAGTGGTGGTCCAGAGTGTGGAGCCATATTGACCCGTCTGAGGTGCCCATGAAACGTCCCCCCCGTCTGTGATTCCATCTGGCTACATGTGGAAGATAGTATTCTCCAGCCAGCGAACGGATGGGGAACATGGGCTGAGAACCTCGCTGCGGACGGGGCGGGCCCTCCCGCGGTCGCGTGGTTGGTATGCGCATATGCGTGGAAGATGGGAGAGACTCAGTCTCCCCCTGATGACGGCCAATATCTCAGCATCGCGCTTCCCATCGCGAGTGTCAAGGAATTGAAGGCCAGGTCTCGTGTGAAGTCTGAAGTAGCAACGGAACGGCGTGATGACTTGCTGTCCCTTGGCCCCAGTCGTGCCAATTTCGAAATTGCCTGTCTCCTGTGCGCGGACCAACCTGACATCGAGTTACTCGAGGGCCCAAGGGCGCTCTACTTAAGGAATCGACCCAGCGACAGTGGAGATAGCGATGTGTTGCAATTCGACATCACAGGGACGAACGTGACGTTTGACATGGCGAAAGGGACGCCGTTGGGTGCATTCGCAATCGCAGCGCCCAGAGATGCCGGCGGTCGTCGTTTTGTACAGACGTTTGCCAAGGGCGGGTTTGACTTGTCGACGGGCCAGACTGCGGAGATTTCGTTTCACACCTCCGGGACTGACCCGAAAAACAGTGTCGAAATTCATTCTGAAATTCATGGCGATTGATGCACTTTTCGGAGTATATGTGGACCAAGTTCCTATTCGCGCGAAGGTGTGCAGGCTCCTTGACGACTTTTGGGGGCAGAATCATGCGCCGCCTTTTTCTAGGGCATAGACCTCTTCGCGCCGTGAACCTCGTCATGTAATGCAGCGTCGAATTTGTTGCGTTTGGAAGGTACATCGGGCTTCCGACAGACGTGTAAACTATTCTTGACGCAGTTTAATTATGATCTGCTGGAATCGTTTTTCGTGGGCTGAGGGCTCAGCCTCAAGTCTAAGATGCGTGCGGACCCCTGGCCAATGCAAGTTGAGATGGTTGAATTTGTCGGTAAAGTGAAATGGAATGAGCCATTCCAGGGCGAATGTTCCATGATCTGGGAGCGCATGGTATCCGAGTGCAGGCGCCAGACCGCTACGATTGTTATTGACATCCTGCGTGCCCTTGGAAAGAACGGATCTCCGGATGTCGGCCTCGCCGATGTTGGAAAAGCCCATGATGACATAATGAGAGCCACTGATGTCTTTAGAGTAACGGTTCAGCATCCACCCGAGTCCAACAGTATGACTATTGTGGGTGAATTTGCTGCCGACTCAGTCGGCGTCGTTCTTGCGCTCGGCGCATCGGCGCCCGTGGATGTCGAGGGGGGAGCCATTGGAGGTGCTGACTCAGTCGGTGGTCCTGCTGCCCCTGCTGCGATCGCTGCTGTCCCCGCTCCTCCGCCGCGCCCGATGGGGGGCAATGGGCGGGCTGCGGCCTCTGATGGCCGTTCCCTCCGCGATGGCGCGCGTGGGCAGCCTCTCCGGCGAGGGGCGGCGCCGGGGCCGCCGCCGGGGCCGATGGGGCAGGGGCCAAGATCGTGGCCGAGGCCGAGAGTCCGGAGCGGGACAATATTCGCCATCGCATGCGGCAGCAGGGCCGCGGCGGCCTCGGACGCGTCGAGGGCGCGAAGGACAGAGCGCTGAGCGCCAGACGTCGAGCTGGCGTTCGGCTCAGAGCGAATACCGCTGGGAGCAGTGCCAGGACCAGTTGGACATCACCGAACACTATGATGATGATGATAAGTCTGGTGGAACATGGGTCGATGATGAGGCCAGGAGAGAGTGGCAGCGGTGGGCTGCGGAGGAAGATCGTGCGGCCTTCGGCTATGGCGGTCGCTGCGCTACGAGGTGCAGTGACGCGCTGACAAAGGCTCAGCCTCTGCAGTCCTACATGCTGAAGAAGAACGGGGCAAAGTTCCTGTGAGAGAACTTCTGCATTCACTTTTGATACCAGGGTTTTTTTTATGGGGTGCGTCGGTCCGTTTCGTACCCTCAGGTGGAGATCAGACGGCTGCATCGGCACCGATTCCCCCGTGTGCCCGAAGCGTTTTTTGGGGGCGTGCACCGGGGGGGGGGGGTGCCAGGAACCCGGGACTTCCCGAGGGTAGGCTTGAACGCTGGACCTACATTTTCCGCCGCGGGGGGAGTTGTTGCTCCTCTCTCCCTGCTCGTTCCCTGCCGCCCTTTCGCCCCCTTTCGCCGCCGCAACTGTTTGTGGATTAGATCGCGGAGTGCGCGCAGCCTGCGCGCAAGGGAAAGGTGGGATCGGGATCATCGTTCCGTTGTCGTTCTCTCCTCCTTTGCTCTCTCATTTTCATCTATCAGCTTAACGGATTATTGAACATTGTGAAGCATGTCTGATATACCGATCATGGGCGAGGAGACCGACATGTTGACATCATCGTTGCACCTTATTTTGGCCGGAAGTCATATTTTTTTTTCGGCGAGTGACTCGCGTTGTGAGCAGGACTGCGCGGCTCAACCCTAGTCGACTACAACGTTGGGATTAGCGCGTGCATGGAAGCGAGCCAGTGGGAGCAGGCGATGTCGCTGCTTGATGAGATTCGGGATCAGAAGTTGGAGCCCAGCATCATTTCTATTACAAAGCTAAGATCAGCACGTGCGGCTGGGTGCATCTCCGCAGGGTTCAACGTTGGCCGAGGCAACCTCAATGACGAACCCAAAATAGGCAATAAACGTCCAGTTTTTTTGGGGACGCCCCACGACTACGACAAGGTGGCCCCAAGCGGCCGCACGATAGTCCTGCGAGGCGGCGAACTTCCAGAGCACCCTGAAACCCTGAACGGCCCGAGTCGCCTCCGAGAGAGCCAAAGATGGGCCCTGCGGGCAGTCAAGATGCCCAAGGGTGGCTCAAAGGCGGCTCGATCCAAGGTGGCCCCCTATAACCCTTCAGACGACGCCCTTGCCCCCAAAAAGGCACCGGCGAGTTTTCAGGGATCCCAAGATGCCCCCCCGAGATGCCTCCAGAACACGACCCCCAAAACGCCTAGAAGGCTCCGAGATAGCCCCAACGGGGCCCAAAATGGCCCCAGGGTAGTCCGAGAGCGCCTCAGCCAGCCCAAGAGTCTCCAGGTGGTCCCCAGGACGCCCCAAGACGGCCCAGGATAACCCAAGAGGTTTTGGATGACGTGGTACCTTCCAGCAACACAGCGCTACAAACTGTGTGGCCATCATATTTGCAACAACGTAAGCAGTATAATATCAGCGACACAACAAGCAGGACATAACAACATCTCCGTTGCGCTGTGAAGAATATGGTAGAGAAGAGTGTGTAGTTGTTCGCTCAGTGCCCTGAGTGCTCTTTGATAAGACGCGGCTGTCCAAACGCCCCTGGGGGAACAAAAATTGTCCTGGCGAAGGGCCCAACCATGCGCTGTCGTGAGCACCGCGTTGTGGGTACCGCTTTCGGTGGAGCTCCCCATGGGGCCACGAACCGTGTGAGGGGTGTGCCAAAATGAGCGTCGGGCGCATGCGGACCCTGCAACTGGGGCCTTCGGCGGAGCTCCCTGTAGAGCCACGTGCCTTGTGAGTAGTGTGCCGAAAAGGGCTTCGGGCGCATGCGGGCCCTGCAACTGGGGCCTTCAGTGGAGCTCCTAATGGGGCCACGAACCGTGGGAGGGGTGTGCCGAAATGGGCGTCGGGCGCATGCGGGCCCTGCCACTGGGGCCTTCGGTGGAGCTCCTTATGGTGCCACGAACCTTGTGAGGGGTGTGCCAACATGGGCGTCGGGCGCATGCGGACCCTGCCGCTGGGCCCTTCGGTGGAGATCCCTATGAGGCTACGAACCGCGTGAAGAGGGTGCCGGAATGGTTGACATGCGGAGGGCAGAGGCAGGACTTGGAGGAGGGGGAGGAGGAAGGAGGAGTGAGTGAGGAACGCGGGGCGCTGTCTCTGCACAACGAGGACCCAACACTACAGGATGGTTGGGGAAAAACGCAAGCAGGACAGCATGCCCTGCATGCAAGAATCACGTCGTGGACGGTAGTTCCTGGGTCAGCCCTCCCAGTCATCCCCCCTTCAATTCTGGGACGCATGCGTGCGGGAAGGGTCTCCGGGCCAGTGCCCTCTCGGGCCCCCCTTGGGCTGCCCTGGGCGGCTTCGGCGCTGCCCTGCGTGCCCTGGGCTGGCCCAGTGCGCCCCAGGACGGCCCCAAGGCGCCCCCGAGTGGCCCGAGACTGCCCTCGACAGGGCTCAAGTGGCAGGAGTTGGCTCCCAAAGTGGCCCGATAGGGAGGGCTCCCAAGAGGCCTCCAAGAAGCCTCTAGACGCCCCAAAGGGCGTTCCAGGAAAATTCAAACACTTTCAGAATTCTCAGGGTAATCCCGCCCCGCGGAGCGGAGCGACACGCTATCCGCTTGCAAGGCATAGCGTGTCGCCGGGGGCCGCCTCCGCGACACGCTAAGCAACAGGTCCCGACCGTAGATCCTTTGTGTCTTGCGCAGGAGCAAGAGATACACATCGAGAGCGGTACTCATTCCATCGTTGAGTGAGCCTCGCCCCTGTCTCCTCGGGCGTCGCTCCTCCCTTCTGTCGCTCGCTCGTCGCTGATCCGTCCTCGCTTCTCCCCCCTTCTTTCCTCAGTCTCGTCGATCCTGACTCCTCGATCCTCGTTCGATGGCAGGTTGCGCCAGCAAGCTGGAGTAGCGAGAAGCCGAACCCTGCAGCATCACGCAGCAGCAGCAGCAGCGAAAGGCACCAAGAGGCATCACGAAGCAGGCAGCAGCAACGTCATCACACAGCAGCAGCATGCAGCAGCAGACAACGGGCAACAGCACACACACACACACCAAACATGACTGGCCATCAGCAGCACCTTACATCCACAACACCATCACGCAGCATGTCCAACAACACGCAACAACGGCAGCAACCGACATCACGCCCTCAGCAGCTGCGGACTGCCAAATTCGTGTCCGACTTTATCTGTGCAGCCTTTCGACATCATGTCCACAATCACATGTCAGCTCACGCAGATATCGTGTAGTCCACGGGCCAGCTCAAGTCTATACTACAATGCCGTGTGGGCACCGCGTGCCAGAATGAAACTGTTTCAAAATTGGCGGAACCAGCCACGGCTGGCCCCTCTTCTCTCCAGGCTCCCCCCATGGGAGCTCCAGGAGGGCCCCAAGACGGTCCAGGATGACGCGAGACACCTCCACACGGCCCAAGAGGTCGTTGATATGGCCCTCAGACAGCCCCACAGGGCCACAAGACGGCCAAAGAGGGCTCCAAGAGGCCCTCCAGAAGAGCCCCGAGAGGCCAATATCATTGATTTCCCCAAGGTTTTGAAGGATTTCAGCGTTCTTGACCTTCTAGATGTTCGACGCTGCAAGACGGCCCAAGAGAGCACCAAGATCGCCCCAATGCGGCCCAATAGGCTCCCAAGGGGGCCCTCAGGCAGCCCAAGAGGCCCCAAGACGGCCCAAGAGGTCCTCAAGACGGCCCAACACGGCCCCAAGAGGGCCCCAAGAGGGAGAACTCGAACTGATATTTCGCGCCCTCCGCTCCAAGATGATCTGGCAAACCGCCAGCAGGCCCCCAAGAGGCCCCAGTAGGCCGAGGAAAGGCCCAAATCAGGCCTCAAGAAGCCCTTGAGAGGCCCCAAGAATTCCCCAAAGCCGCCTGCAAGAGGCTTTCGAGGGAAGATCCCTCAGAGAGCTCTGGGACCGCGCCGACCACCCAGGAAGATAAGGGGACCATGCCACTTTTGGTTTCGCCCCTTCTTTGGATTGTCTCCGGTCTGAATGGGCGACTCGTAGGGGCGTTCTCCCTGGGAATGCTCTGGACAGGCCGGCCACTGGGGGCAGTTTCCGCAGTGCCTGCGAACTCCTTCCGAGCCCACGCAGCCCGCGCTCGTCCTCCGACCTCCTCGGGCGGACACGGCCACAATGGAGCATCGTTGGAAAAGAGGGCCCACGTGTTCATGCTCCATGATTTCCAGCATTGGCCCCAATGCGGCCTCAGGGCGGCTCAAGAGCATCCTTGGGCGGCTTAGGACGCCAGCAGCGGGAGCGCACAGCAACAGCAAGCAGCAGCAGCGGCAGCAGCAGCAGCAGCAGCACCACCACGTGCAAAGCAGAACTGGCCATCAGCAGCACTCTGCAGCTTCAAGCAGCAACAACAACAACAACAGCAGCAGCAACAACAACAACACCAACAACAACAACACCACCAACAACAACAACACGTAGCAGCAGTAAGCATTACCAACAACACGCAGCAGCGGCAGCAAGCAGCACCACGCAGTAGCATCCGCGGAATGCGAAGTTCGATCCCCACGCCATCGTGGATTCCGTGGACGGAGTCCACGGGTCATCCCTACTCTCTCCTACATGGCCAGGGGAAGCGCGTGCGGGAAGGCAAACAGATCAAGTGTCCAAAATCGGCCTCGGGGGGCCCCTGGCGCGGCCTTGGCGGGCCCCTGGCGCCCCTGGCGCGGCCCGGCGTGCCTCCGGGCGGCTCGAGCACGCTTCGGGACGCCTTCAGGGAGCGCCGAGATCGGGCCAAGAGCCGCAGCGTGCCCCCAGGACGGGTCCAGAGGCCGTCCAGGCGGCTCGCGGCGGCCGAAAATCATTCACTTCTCCAAGGCCAAGAGCGGCCCAGACGGTTTTTTGGGGCCCCCGAACGCTCGAAGGCCGCCCAGGAGCTCGGGCAGGGGCCTCAAGACGGCTCAGGAGGGCTCCAAGACGGCTCCTGGAGAAGCCCCAAGACGGCCCACGGCCCGAGAGAGCCCCCGGGAGCCCCCAAACGTGCCCCAGGAGCCGCCCAAGAGGGCTCACGGAGAGCTCCGAGACAGCCCAAGAGCCCCAACATGTCTCCGAGAATGCCCAAGAGGCCGTCCAGACGGCTCGCGGCGGCCCCAAATCATGCATTTTTCTATAGTTTCGCGCAGTATTTTTCAGGTTCTCGCGATTTCGAGCTCAGAGCGGTCCAAGGCGGCTCGGCTCCTGGGCCCCCCACGAAGGGTCCCAACCAAAGAACGAATGCTCCAAGGCTCAAGAGGCTCCTGCACGGGCTCCAAGATCGCTCAGGAGTGCTCCAAGACGGCCCAAAACGGCCCAGGAGAGACCCAAGACGACTCGAGAGAGCCCCCAGGAGTCCCCTGACGGGCCCCAAGAGCCGCCCAAGAGGGCAGAGAGCTCCGAGACGGCCCAACACCCCGACATGGCCTCTACACGGCCCTGGAGGCCGTCCAGACGGGCCGCGGCAAACGAAATCATTTATTTTCCGATGGTTGTTGAAAGATTTCCTCCTTCTCGCCATGTCTAGCCAGACGGCTGCTGGGACTTCCTCGAACGCTCCAAGGCCGTCCAAGAGGATCGGGAAACGGCCCCACAACCACCCTGGAGGGCTCCACGATGGCACAGGAGGCGCCCAAGATGGCCCAAGAGGCCCCAAGACGGCCCGAGAGCCACCCGAGACAGCCCCAAGACGGCGAACGAGGCGCCCGAGGCGGCCCAATAGGCCAAAAGGAGGACGAAAAGATCCCCAAGAGGCCCCCGAACGGCTTCGAGGAGGCCCCGAGAAGAGGCTCTAAAGCTGCTCTCGAGACACGGGCAGCGGACGAGAGGCGAGAGGCTCATCGCACGCCTGAAGGAATTGTTTTCCACGCTCCGAGGGCCCTGGCAAACAGGAGCAACTCGCAGGACATACAAGCAAGCACTAAGCAAGCATCACGAAAACGGCAAGACGATGCTGGCTAAACAACTCACGCGCGCATTGGCAATGAAACGGCAGCAAGCAACCGAGCGCAAGAAGCGACAGCAGACACACGCTGACATTCTTGCTGTCGTGGGCAGAGCCTACGGGTCAGCCCTCGACACTTTGCAACCCTCTAAGATTGCCGCAAGACGCCGCAGAAAGCTACCAAGACGGTCCCGAGACGCCCCAGGGCGGCCCGAGGACGCCCCCAGCGACGCCCAGACGGCCTAAGAGAACCCCAAGAGAGCCCGAAGAGCGGCCCAAGGGGCCCACGACGGCCCCAATTCTGACCGAGAGGCGCCCGAGACAGCGCCGGGACAGTCCAAGAGACCCTCAAGAGGCAAACAGAAGCCCCCAGAGGCCCTGGATGTTTGTGCTCTTGGAAACGTCGTCGTAGAAACGACGATTGGCACGATGGAGCATCGAGGAGGAGAAGGAGAAGGACCCACCAGCAGGGCACATAAATAAAGGCGAGCAGCAGCTGCAGCAGCACGCATTGACATCACCAGTGCCAAGCAGCCTCCTGTAGCAAGCAGGAGCAGGCAGGCGGCAACATCCACCATCAGGCAAAAGCTAGCACATGCACCAGTCCGCAGCAAGCCGTTGCCGCAGGCGGCAGCAGAAGAAAGACCAAGCGAAAAGCAGCACTCAGCAACAGCAAGCGGCTGGAAAAGGCACCAGGCAGGTGCAAGCACTTGCCCAGACACCGCTCGCCACCTCGAGCAGATGTTGTGGACGTAGTCCACGGGTCAGCCCTAGTCAGCTACAGCTATGGGATCAGCGCGTGTGAGAAAGGCGGGCAGTGGCAGCGTGCTTTGGCGTTGTTCAGCGAGATGCAGGGGCAAGGAGCATTGGCGTTGTTCAGCTGCGGTGCTTGGATCAGCGCCTGCGAGAAGGGCGGGCGCTGGGAGCAGGCGATGTCGCTGCTTAGCGGCATGTGGGTCTCGAAGCTGGAGCCCGACGACGTCTCCTCTCAATGCTGGGGACTGCTGCTCAGAGCGGGAAACAGCTGCAGCCCGCTCTGGGCCCCCTCGGGGCGTCTCCGAGCGTCTTGAGCTTGGCGCCGCCCGCTCATCATCTCAGCCCCCAGGCAGCCTCGAAGACCCCAAGAGGCCCCACGAGGTGCCCCCACGACGGCCCAAGAACGTCCCCAAGAGGATCGCGGCGAGGACCAGGAGAGGCTTCAAGAGACCCCCCGAGCGAGGCCCGAAGATGCTCCAAGCGGGGCCCGAGAGCGAAAGGAATGGAGGAACTCGCTTTCCGGCCTTGTCGGCCCAGGCTGGCTTTAGGAGGGCTTCAAAGGCCCACAGGGTGCCCTAACAAGCGTCCATACGGCGGAGGACAGCTGTTAGAGGGGCCACAAGTAGGCTGAGAGGGCTAGAGCTCAACCAGGAGGATTCCTGGCGGGCCTTCAGGCGCCCCAAGACTGTCGCAAACAGCTTCAGTGGTCTAAACCCACAGCGGCCCAAGATGGCTCCGAGAGGCGCCGCAGTAGCGCCCAAGACGTTCCGCACGTGTCCCGAGACCTGGCGGCAGCCGAGCCGGCAGCAGCAGGGACAAGTGGGCGGCGCCGCACCTGGTTCCCTCCTGACGGGCGGCGCTGGACAGGATCGTCCTGTTCGCGGCCGCGGACACGGACCTCCTCTGCTCTGGCTGCGCACCCACCGCACCGCGATCGAGTCCACCGTCGCGTGGGGGCGCGTCGCTGGCGGCGCCGGCGGGGCAGCATCTGGAAGATGAGGGCGCCCGCCTACCTTGCATGTAGTTAAGGAGAGAGGATTGCGCTTCGGTCTTGTCCTGGCAGCAGCTGCAATCAGCCGGCGTAGCAAGCAATCGCATCAAGTAGCGCCAACATAGTTAGGAAACGGCGGAAGACAGCAGCAACAAGCAGCAGCAGCAGCAGCAACAGCAGCAGCAGTAGTAGTAGTAGTAGTAGTAGAAGAAGAAGTCGGAGTCGTAGTAGTAAGTAGTAGTAGTAGTAGTAGTAGTAGTAGTAGTAGTAGTAGTAGTAGTAGTAGTAGTAGTAGTAGTAGTAGTAGTAGTAGTAGTAGTAGTAGTAGTAGTAGTAGTAGTAGTAGTAGTAGTAGTAGTAGTAGTAGTAGTAGTAGTAGTAGTAGTAGTAGTAGTAGTAGTAGTAGTAGTAGTAGTAGTAGTAGTAGTAGTAGTAGTAGTAGTAGTAGTAGTAGTAGTAGTAATAAGTAGTAGTAGTAGTAGTAGTAGTAGTAGTAGTAGTAGTACTACTAGCCGTAGTAGTAGTAGT